CAGACGATCTTGCCTCCAACCACATGTTTGGATGGGTAGAAAAATTGTTTCTCTATCTCTTCTTCAACTAGCATTTATATATATCTAGAAAAAAAAATCATCAAATTCAAGGAAATAATAACTTAAAAAAAATGATTGAAAATCAACATACCACAAAATACTAAGCTTAACTATTAATGAACTGATGCACTTTTTTTTAACGATCATCACTCCGCACATCCATTTCAATAAAAAGGTTAATCGGGTTTGGCTCGCATCTAAGAACCATAACTTCTAGCAAAAAATTATTGTTAGTTAAATATCTTTATAAAAAACAACTAATAAAAAAATACATGTAATAAAAAAAATCATACCATTCGTTTTGAATGTGAAACAAACAAAATAAAATTATCGATGTGTGTGGTAACAAAACCGTGAACAAATCGGTTCCAATTATACATACCAGACTGTGACTGTCAAGTGAAACGTGTAAATATTACTTGCTAAATGTATTCTATCTAAAGAGTCTCTAAGACATACAACAATATGAAATTCTTCCAAACTACCATGTCATTCCAACTTGGAAGCTCCTTTTCTTTCACATATTTTTTTGATTTTTTTGCCCCTTTACCAAAAATCACGCAACCTATATGGTATAAATTAATTATCTGTTAGTAAACGAGAAATAAAATTTTAATATTTGGAATAAAAAAATTATCTTGAATTTGATCTTACCTAATTGTGGTATGATTTTCCCAAACTCTTCTCACAACATTATTATCAATTCTCTCCCATTCAAATTTTTCCTTGAATTAAAAATTTATAAAAGAAAAATTCATTAATTTCAATAAACGGTCTAAATTACCATAAAAAATATTTAAGTTAATATTAACATTGAACCTTTAAAACCATGCATTAATATGTGATTTCCATTTAGGATGTTTGAAAACTAGCTGGCAATATTAAAATAATATAATTTCTATTGATAATTTAAAAGTCGATATTATTGTTTTTACAGCCTCAATATTTGTAAACATAAAATTACATGTGTTAAATGATATTATTTTTTCAAAAATTATTACACATGTCATTGTAAAAGCAAAACAAACTTATATTAAAAGGTCGTTGTTCTACTAAGCCTCGTATTTGGATCCTGTTATGAAGGGACCCCCCTCGATATTGTGACATCGCACTCAACATAAGTTTCATTAATTTACAAATAAATATAGTTTTATAAAATCTAAAATAAACCCTAATATTATACAAAAAATAAACAAATCCTAATGTGTACAAATTATAAATATGTACAACAAATTTATATGAGAAAAAACTATAGAACAAATAGACACCCAAACAAAATACATATACTATAAAAAATATGAACATAAGTTTCATTAATTTACAAATAAATATAGTTTTATAAAATCTAAAATAAACCCTAATATTATACAAAAAATAAACAAACCCTAATGTGTACAAATTATAAATCTGTACAACAAATTTATATGAGAAAAAACTATAGAACAAATAGACACCCAAACAAAATACATATACTATAAAAAATATGAAAAAAATCAACATTTTAAAATTGATTTCAAATAAAAAAATGGTAAATTTGCTCACTTAATTAAAGTGGAGAACGCTCAATAAATGGAGATAAGGGTTGAGTACCAAGTCATAAATTAAATATCACCAATAATATTACCAATAAAATTATTTTGTAAATAACTCTACCGGTCATTCTATTAGTAAAAATATCATGTCACCGGGGGGGGGGGGGGGGTAGCTCTTTGTTGTAGAAAAAAAACATAAGAAAGAAGAAGAAATAAAAGACTTAATTAAAGTGGAGAACGCTCAATAAAATTTAAATCAAAACATATATATTAACAAATTGAATATTGTGATGACCATATTTATTGCATGAGGTTGAATTGTGTTAAGATTTGGCGGGGGGGGGGGGGGGG